GGGTAGAGGGAACGCGGGTAGAGGGAACGCGGGTAGAGGGAACAAGGGTAGAGGGAACAAGGGTAGAGAGAACAAGGGTAGAGAGAACAAGGGTAGAGGGAACAAGGGTAGAGAGAACAAGGGTAGAGGGAACGCGGGTAGAGGGAACGCGGGTAGAGGGAACAAGGGTAGAGGGAACAAGGGTAGAGGGAACGCGGGGTAGAGGGAAGGGTAGAGGGAACAAGGGTAGAGGGAACGCGGGTAGAGGGAACAAGGGTAGGGGGAACGAGGGTAGAGGGAACGCGGGTAGAGGGAACAAGGGTAGGGGGAACAAGGGTAGGGGGAACGCGGGTAGAGAGAACAAGGGTAGAGGGAACGCGGGTAGGGGGAACGCGGGTAGAGAGAACAAGGGTAGAGGGAACAAGGGTAGGGGGAACGCGGGTAGGGGGAACGCGGGTAGAGGGAACCCGGGTAGAGGGAACGCGGGTAGGGAGAACAAGGGTAGAGGGAACAAGGGTAGGGGGAACGCGGGTAGAGGGAACGCGGGTAGAGGGAACAAGGATAGAGGAAACCCGGGTAGAGGGAACGCGGGTAGAGGGAACGCGGGTAGAGGGAACGCGGGTAGAGGAAACCCGGGTAGGGGGAACGCGGGTAGGGGGAACAAGGGTAGAGGGAACAAGGGTAGCGGGAACGCGGGTAGAGGGAACAAGGGTAGAGGGAACAAGGGTAGAGGAAACCCGGGTAGGGGGAACGCGGGTAGAGGGAACCCGGGTAGAGGGAACCCGGGTAGAGGGAACGCGGGTAGAGGGAACGCGGGTAGGGGGAACCCGGGTAGGGGGAACGCGGGTTCAACAAAAGCACTCTCCAGCATAAGTTGTAAAATGCTGAGTTAGCACCGTGTCTTACTGGATCTGCGTTTCTCGTCACGATCGGTTGTTCTACGTGAAGCCAAATGTAACGCAAGGCATTGTGGGACAGCATTATCTCCTTTCCTAAATCAAGGTCCAGTGTTTCCTAAAGGACATGATAAAGGAAGCATTGAAGCTCCTTTCCTACCATGTCTAGAGCAGTGATTCTCAGCCGATGTGTCGTCAGGTGTGCCGTGGGAAATTGTCCAATTCCACTTAAATCGGTCTAAAAAAAAAAACATTTGCTGCAAATAATTTGCCATTGTCTACGGTCTGTGGCTGCAATGAAATACTCTTGAATGCCAGTGGGGGGCAGCAGGTAGCGCAGTAATGTAGAATGAAGTGATGCTTGGTGGAGGCTGCTCTAACGAGACAAACAGCGATGGATAAACACTACGGATAAATGCAGACTCTGAACTGACTCCTGGACAAAATCCTAAATATTAGTGCAGAGTGTGAGTGGTGGTCAAAATATATAAAAGGCAGGACTGTGTCGTTGTCATTTTAAAACCTTTTGGGTTGTTGTTGTTGTGCCAAGGGAATAGTACCGTGACTGACGTTAAAAATCACTGAGAATCTGAACAGCTCCTCTCATGGCTTAGAGACTTCCGGGTCCTTCCACTCCTCTAGGAACCTTCCTCAGATACATCTGACCGACAGGTAGACGTTCCCCAGCAGGGGGTCTCTGTAAATAAACCCTCAAATATGTTGTCGTTCCCTCTCTCACAGAGAAGCTGATCGAACAGAGGAGACACTCAGAAGCTGCTCTGCTGCTGGACCAGTACGCTAAAGTGAGCAAGAAGCTTAAAAACACTTATCATGGATCTACTTTCTTATAGTTGGAATATTATCTCACTCTTTTGCATATATATAAAAACATAACATTATGCACACTGTTCTGTATGTTTTGCACTTTTCTCTTCAGCACTACCTCTCTTAATAAATTGCGTAGCTCTCGACATACTGCACATATTTTATTATTCATAGTAAAACAAATATTTGCTTTTTGCATATTTTTTATCTATCGTAAACATTTTATTTAATTTTAAGATATTGTTGTAATAGTTCTATGTTTGTAGACACTGTGTTCATGTGCACACCTAAACCTGTGTAAACCTGCCTGGCAATAAACCTGGTTCTGATTTACAAAAAAATGTAGTATAATGATTGTTATTATAATTACAGGACTGTGAGGAGGCCATCTTGGCTCTGGTCACTGGGTCCGTCTGGGACGAGGCGCTGCGACTGGTCAGTTTGAAATAGTTTCTGATCTACATATCTTTTCTTTTCCTTATACATGTGATGTTTTGTTTCTTTCCGTCAAGTGGGAAATAAGTATTTTTTTGTTTGTGTTTCTCTTAGTATCCTAAGATAATGTTATGTTTGGCTGTGAAAAAAAAAAAATAAAAAAGTATTATTATGAAGGGCAGACCATCTATTTGTATTTATTTTGTTTTTTTTAGAAAGGGGCAGGTCACATAAAATTGTATTCTTCTCCCTTCTCCTTTTCGCTCAATGGCGTTTTGGTAGAGTCATGTTTTGTGGCAATTATTGTACATTTGGTTTTGCGTGCCATGAGCGGGACAAATGAAATGAAATAACAGGAGAACATGTGTGGGGGCGTAGTGGGTTGTCGTAGGTGTTGGGATCAGGGGGTCACAGGTTCAAACCCCACTGCAGTCAGCATGTCGTTGTGTCCCTGAGACACTTCACCCCAAAGTGCTCCTGTGGGGATTGTCCATAGTATTGAGTGTGTAAGTTGCTTTGGATAAAAGCGTCTAACATGTAATGTACTTTTTCAGAAGTACATTACACTAATTCATTGTCGTTTTTGTTTAATCAGTATTTTTTTATTTCACATTGTTGGAGTCACTTTCTATAATTCATTTGGAGCCACCTTCTGTAACGCCCTGTCCTTTGTGCTTTATAAACACACTTATTATGCGTCAAAATCACCCCATAGCCGGTGTAATTATAATTATAAGCACTCCTAAATATTCACACTTCATTGCAATAATCATTATATTACCACGAATACATTTCAAGCATTATAGTCACTATACGTCAAGCTGCTTGTCAATCTATACCCACGCTCATTGTTTGATTTAAATACAGATTATAATGCATTATTAAACATTATATTGTATTCCAGTTATGGGAGTTATAATATGATATGAGCCTTGCTACAAAATACAAAATAAAATCCAACAATTATGAAGTGTTAGGATATTTAACCTTATAAATCCTTTAAAATGGGTTTTGGATTTTTGTTATAATGCATTATTTATATCTTTGACTGCTTATATATGTTCTTATATCTTCTTATAGCACTTCATAAGTATTTTTATAACACATTTTATAATCAAGTGTCATGAAAAAAAAAAATTATGACATTATTGCAATAATTTTCATTATTGTTTATTTCTTTCAAACAATCAAATTTTTTTAAGCATTATAATCATTATACATGGATCTGTTTATAATTCTCTCTTTGTGCGTTATTAAAGTAATTCAAATCTGTTTATAATACATTAGAAAAAACTACTATATGAAATATGATATGATCCTTGCAACAACAACAATGTCAGGGAGTGACTGTCAATCATGAAGTCTATGATACTAAATAATTATAAAATGCTTCATAAAGATTTTTCCCAAAAGTATAATTTACTTATATAAACAAATAATTGTACAGTGCTATAAGCAGATGACAGCACATTATGCGTTTGTTTATAATGCATTTTATACATGGGCGTCAGAAAGTCTTACCTATGTTGCAATAATTTGCCCTTTTGTTATTTTTCCTTTTTCAAATTAATCTCATTTCAGTCAGACAACTCACGTGTTTCTTTAACATGTTTATTAGAAGCAGCATATAGTTAAGTTTGGCGTCTAGGCTCGGGCCTCATCACTCCATGATATACATAGCACGATGAGTGATGATTAAATAACTAACCCCCCAAGCCTACAGGTGGAAGCTGGGGTGGAAGCTGGGGTGGAAGCTGGGGTGGAAGCTGGGGCGGAAGCTGGGGTGGTGGTGGGGCAGGCGAGCAGCAGCAACATGACACACAGCAGCAGGAACATGAACGTAGCAAGTGAACACAGCAGTGGCAGCAGCAGCATAGCGAGGCAGAGGCTGGAAGACCTGGCAGCTTAAATAGAGCGGCATGTTTAGGAGAATGTGTTTGGTTGGTTGTAAGAGGGACGAGGTGCGTCACGTGTTAATGTATCATTGGTGCTCGAGTTGACTGCCTGAACTAGCTCGCAGGCTTCGCCCCATTTATTTTACCTGAGTATTCTTAGCTTTATAATTCTACTCTAATACATTTTGGAAGCCAGTATTGTAGTTTTTACTCCACTTCATGTATCTGACAGCTTTAGTTACTCTAACGATTTAGATTATTAGCTAATATGTAGATATATCAAGTAATAAATACAAATTGACATATAGGTTAGATTAAGGGTCAATAATAACTTCACCTGGACCAGTTGTTATTGACACATTAAGGCATCAATAATCATAGTCCAGCATAGTTTTATATAGTTTTATATATTTGGCTAACATTTTGATGCTATTGCTACTCAAGTGTAAATTAAGTTATCCACCATTTCTTGAAACACAAACCTCTATAAAGTGAAAACCAAAAACAACTCACTTGTTCAGTAAAAATTACCCTGATTTTGTGACAATGTCCTCCTAGCCATCTATGCATTTCCCCCCAGTGGTCCTT